AGGCCCCTTCCCTATGTTATTTTTAATCATGAAATTTATCAATAAAAATCTGAACTTTTGTTCAAACACTTTGTCTTAGATTTCTTTTAGATTTCTATTGTAATTTTATTCATTTAGAGGGGTGCGGTTTGTGAACCTCTAGGCAACTATCGGCGATTCAAGGCACTGGTTTGTGGCTTATCGGTAATCGAAACACACGATCTTCATCAAAGTGGCATCATGCCATTTAGCCAATTTTTTTTACCCAAGTCCTTATGCTAGTATTTATACGGAAATTATGAATATTAACGTAAGGAATTGTCATATAATAACCGAACCACATCAGAGAGTTAAGAGGGTTCAACCAAGATAGATAGTTATTAGCCAAAGGAAAGCACGCACGTTTACAAGCGGTCGTGAGCGGGAGCGCAAGGTCTAGCACCAATTCACGAGCAATCAAAAGGGGTATATTCATATTAACCCTCTTTTAGTGTTTATGTGATCATTTTAGCTAAGTCATGTATAAATCATGTAGTTAAGTCTATTATTGTTGTCATATTGTACTAGGACGTGCCATATAGGCCTTTTCGAGTCATGTCAGTTTCTAATCGAGCACTTCCAAGCAATTTAAGTATTTTCGGCCATTATATATATCATATTATGTTCAGTCATGTAAGCTTTGCCGGAATAAGTCGCCGGACGGCCGGCAAGGGCCGGTCATAGTCGCCTTACCCGCATACAGCGGGCAAAGCGCACCCAGCAACTAGATGAGGTCGAGCGGGTGACTTGTGTGCGCCCAGTCGGGCATAGCGAGTAGCCCTGCCTATAACCGTCGACAGTCGGCCAGTGCTAGGGCACGTCGGCAAGTCCCAGCGCACATCACTGTGCCCAGTCGCATGCCAGTTGTCCTCGGCCGGTGCCTATAGCACGCCCGAGCGCCAAGTGCCGTCAGGGTTGCCCGGCAGCACCCAATTGGCACCAGTACATGCCAATCCGCGTCAGTTCGCGTGTCCAAATACTCAGTCGCCTGTCCGCGGTGCCAGTAACGCCCGGCAGTGCTCAGACGCGTAAGTACCGGCGCTCGCAGTGCCCGGCAGCGTCCAATCGCCATGTCATGAACCAATCGCCGTCGGCTGTGCTCAGTCACGCCCGATGGGCGTTCCATGTGTGCGCGCGGTGCCAGTCTCCCTGCCAGCGCCCCAGTTATGTCAAGTTGCACGCCGGTAGTACACAATCATGCTTAATAAGATCCAGTCATACGCCAATTGTGTACAGTAAGGCCCGGCTGTGCCCAAGCCGAGCCCAGTCTATGCCATTGACCGCGCCCGGGCACCAGCAAACCCAGCGCGGGACCGAGCCGGTTGGCCCGAGCCAGCGGCCGTTCGCCCGGCCACAACAGGCCGGCGGTCCGGCCAGCCAGTGAACCGGCCAGTTCAGACCGGTTATTCCTATGTTTTAATATTATTTTTAATCTGGTCCTAGTTATGTTAGATATTCCAGTCAAGTTCCAGGTCCAGTCAGTCAGTTCAATAAATTCAGTTATCAGTTCAGTCAGTCCAGTCCAGTAATTCCAGTTAAGTTCAGCTTCAAGTCATTCTATGTTGAGCCCTAGTCCATGTCAATAGGACGAGTTAAGTCATGTCAGTTCAGTCGAGCATCTTAACAGCTATGTTTATAAATCTGAGCATAGTACTTAGTATTTGTTTATATATGTTACAGTTTGAACAGTTCGAGGCTATCAGCACTTACGATTCATATCAGCAGTTCAGGTGGGGACTCAGACTGGGTATTACATTGATTATAATTACTCTACCATGTTTGAGGTATGTATTATAAGTATCCGCTCGGAATGGTCGTCGGTCCATTCCGGGTTCTAGTGGCCTTAGTCTGCCCACTAGAGTGTGCACATGGTGTCCGACATTTTTATGCTGGCAGATGTTCAGGTATCAGTCAGGTGATGATTATCACGATATCTGTATCAGATCATGATTATTCAGTACTGGTTTCAGATCAGTTCAGTTATGTATATGCCAGGATCATGATATTGCAATTATTTTCACTGTTTACTTTAGTATGAGTTTCTGCGGAGCACAGTGGATTTAGTGCTCACGCCCCACATTATTCATGTTTTTCAGGTCACAGGGTCGGAGCCGAGGAGTGAGCTGGCGTTCGGTTCAGGATTTTGGTTATATGTTTAAAAGGATTTGGCTACGCTACGTTTTTCCGTTTATTACGACTGTTTGCCAAACTTAGCTTTTAATTCGATTTTCAGTCGGTTAATATGTTATGATAAACCGTTTTGTTTTTTCTTTAAAACTAAATTAACGGTTTTTCTGGTAAAGTCATGTATTATGGTAGCACTCCGAATCAGTATTTCGCAACTTAAATGTTTGAAAAAAAGCTTTCCGAAAAAAGCACTCTGATTTTCATGAAATAGCGGGGTGTTATAAATTTTGCCGGAAAAATATAAATTTTCGGCCGGAGAATTTTGACGTCGGGATCACTTAATTCGCCGAATTTGTTGTCGCCGGTGTTCTTCTTGCCGGATTTGGTGTCGCCGGCGAGATGAAGCTGCAAAAAATAAATAAATAAAAACGTGGCCGACAGATGAAGCTACATAAAAAAAAGAGGGAGATGGTGATTTGTTGGGGAAGAAGCCAAAAATAAAATATTATTATTTATGTAATGTTAGGTAAAAGAAAAATAATTAAATAATATGTAAATGGTATGATAGTGGGATGATGTCACACTAGAATTTCTTTTTGATTTATTTTAATAACGGAGATTTAAATGGAAGTTGAATAGAGGGGTATGGAGTGTATTAAAAAAAAAATAATGCTTAGGGACTGACATGAAAATTTAAAAAAGGATTAGAGATTTTTAAAGAAGTGTTCGAAAAGTAAAAACATGAAAAACCAATTAAATATTAATCTGGATATTAATGGTAGAAAAAGCTACAGTTATTCTATAAAACCAGATGGTTGGTTTCTTTATGGAACCAACCACTAATGGGTAAAGAAACCAACCACTAATGGGACAGCTCCACATGAGGCTGTTCCACATAAAAGTTATGTGGGACAACCCCATGTGGAGCTGTCTCATTGGTGGTTGGTTCCATAAAGAAACCAACCATCTGGTTCCTTAGCAAAATTGGAAAAAGCTATATGGAATTAGAAGTCACTACAAAGACCTGCAAACTAATTAGAAATATGAATATATGTTATGATAGAAATTGAGCCAGTATATTATACAATATACAAACCAAAACTGGAAAGATTGCAAGTTTATGAAGAAAAAGAAAAAAAACCCAGATGAAGAAAAATCATCAATCTCTCTCCGCTTCCTTCTCTTTCCTGTTTACATATACGTTGGCGTAACATCTCATGTAGCCCACATAGATCTCTTTCGTTTTCTCTCCCCGATTTCTTGAATTCGTTGTGAGAATTTGATGTTGACGCCTCAATAAGGGGCAAAGGTTCGAAAGAAAAACCTATTATATTATAGGAAAAACCCAGAAATAATTTCGCCGGATTGAGTCATGGGACAAGGTGAGAACTGATAAATTTGATCTTTTTGGTACAGATCGTTTTTGTTTGGCTTGAGATGTTGGTTTCAATTTGATTGGATGGGCCTTTTGTAATGAGGATTTAGGGCTTTTTGGTTAGGTTCAATTTTTGAGATTTGTCTGTGTTTTTCAATGTTTTCGTTGAGTCCAGAGATCGGAATCTGGTTCTCTAGGTTTCCTAGCTTGCTTACTGTTCTGCATATTCTTTAGTTTCAACTTCTGAGATCTTTCGACGTTTTCGATGTTGCTGTTGACGTGCCGAGATTGAAACCTGATTTCTATGTATCCTATCTTCCTTCTGTTCTGCGTTGTATTTACGCTTCAATTTCATGGCACATGGATATTCAATTTCATAATAATAATAAAAGTGTTTTTCTTAATAGATTGCCTGGATATGGAAATAGTGCTCAAACAGTTTGATGAAGAAAACTAACGTTTTTATCCTTGTGTTTTTCGTGATTCTACATTTTGCTTTGTAAAATTACCCCTAAAACATCACTTTCCTAGGGAATTCGAGAAGTACATGTTAACATTGAGCTCAACTGGTTGCATGGCTTTAAGATTATTCAGAAGTTACTGAATAAATTTCTTGCTGTTGAGCACATATGGACATCCTTTGGAAGAAGAAATAACCTTTTGGAAATTGGAAGATTATTATTATTATTATTATTATTATTATTGGGTTATTGAATTGAGATCGATATATTGGCAGCGTTTGATTAAAATATTCAAACATAAATATCATTGAACATTTGAACCAGTTCCATGATGAGTAGTCTCCATGTTAAGTAATTTCTATGAGTTTTTTGCTGGCTTTACAGAAGTGCTTCCACTATGATATTCTCCACCACCAATGCTTTTGATATTCACAATTTCCTCGTTTTTTAGATGGTTTGTTAATGGATCTAAGCAATAGATTGAAATAATTTCACGAATTATTTTATCACGCCCCATTTAGTAATCCAATTACATTTTTGCTGTCTTCTTGATGATTCAGAATCGTGTGAAATGCATTCTGAGGATGACAAAGCCCTCCTGGAGAAGAACAAGAAAAGGATCGTCAAGACACGTGCTCAAGTTGAAGCACTTGAAAAGTTCTATAATGGTATATATATAGCTTCTCTAGCTCTGGCGCGCCTCTCATTTTATTTATGTATGTCCCTTTTGTAATATAAACTTTGTCCCTCCATTTATGTTTCCTTTATTTTTATATTTTTATCTAGAACACAAATACCCCACGGAAGCAATGAAACAACAGGTTGCGGAGTCTATAGGCTTGACCGAGAAGCAAGTTTCCGGTTGGTTTTGCCACAGAAGGTTGAAAGACAAAAAAGTAATAAATGAGGAGAAACACGCGACAGGTGTTAGGCAAGACAGGTCGAGTGGGGTCATACAAGATCGAGGTAGTGGGCTTAGGCAAGATTCGTGTGGCAGCACAAAACAAGGAGATGACCTGAATCTGGACATGAGAGAAGTCGAGAGTGAAAGGTTGACAGCAAAAGAATTCTCTAATGCTGACCTGACGTACGAGCACGGCAGCCATCATGCTGGGAATTATAACCGTGTGGACAGATTGTCTTCCGGAAGTAGCTCCTCAATGTCAAACCACCAAGACAGGGTGCCTCTTGATGCGGTGACCTCGAGATACCAGGTACCAAAATTCCACACGGGTGCAGAACATGAGAAAGCCCGGCCTGGCCCGGCGGGCTATTTGAAAGTCAAAGGCCGGGCCGAGAATGGCGCAATAACTGCAGTCAAGAGGCAGCTCGGGAAGCATTATAGGGAGGATGGACCGCCACTTGGGGTCGAGTTCGACCCACTTCCTCCCGGTGCGTTTGAATCGGCAGCAGGGGAACCTGATGAAGGTGAGCTGGATTTGGTGCCATGTTTGCGATTGTTTATGCTCCTTGTTTGCCCTTTGACTGCTTTTCTGATTTATCGGTGATTAGTTTTCTTCTTAGTTGCAGAATGAAATTAGTACATGCTTGTGGTCTCGGGAAAAGATTGCACTTGTGAAAAAATTTGTTTCTCACTCGAGAAACTTTACAGATTGATGGGTTATGGTGTTGTGCCTTTCTTTTTTTTTTTTTTT